ACTACATACTCTGATGCCAATTTTCCTTCGACCAAGTATTTGTCCACTGAAAAATAATATAAATATTATATCATGATTTTTAGTACTATCTTCTGTCACTAGAGAAAGAGAAAAATTCTTATACTCATACATATCATTTTAAGTCACTGAAATATATAACTGTATAATAAAAAAATTCAAGCTAAGTCTAAAATTTCTATAGCCTTTCACTTTAATTAACATATAAATTCAATAACCACCATTAATAACAGAATGTCAACTTCTTGACAATATGTTTATTATTCTTTTTATTTTAGAAGTACAACTATCACATATTATTTTCAGATATATGTGACATGTAATCATCCACTTTTACATATAAAAATAATTATTAATAAGGAAACATTTTAATGAGAAAATATTTATAACAATATAGTAATTAAACTTAACAGTGAAAATATACATACATATATTGAATAATTATTTGGCTATAGTTATTGTTAGAAACCAAGATAATTAACCAAAATATTATCATTTTGTTTATTCACAAGAATAAGTGAAGTATTAATTACTATAGACACTCTTCTCTTATCTAAGACAATACCTTACATATTGTCATAAATATTATTTTAGAAAAGAATTCAATTTCAGTTTGTAAAAATAAATTTTTCAATTAAGAAAATACTTACTCCAAATTCTCTAAGGTAAAAACGCACTCAACACTGCGTCGATTCATGCCACTGACACAAGAATGCTTGCAAGCAAATTCATATAATACTCTCACAGAACAATCACCTGTCTGCACATTGCCTAACGGCACTGTCACATTCAAATGTGTATTAGAATCAACTGAACCAAAGTACTGAGCTCCCACTGACTTGCACAACAAAACATGATCAGAATTATTGAAATCATCTAAATCTGAAATAACGATTTATTAATATATATAATTTCAATTATGATATTAAATTGTATATCAAAACATTTTGGAATTAAGTATTAATTATAAATCTTTGCCTTTTTGGGATGTATCACAACATCAAAATAAACTACTAATTATAATATATAATTAAAATTAATATAAATAAAATATAAATAAAATTAATATAAATAAATATATAATTATAATTTATAAAATCAAAATGAATATTAAATATACTCACTATCGCTTGATTTCATAGTCTTATGATTTTTACATCTCATAACCAGATTCGGAGCATCATGAGGGCTAGAATACAGCATTGTTGCTCTTACAAACATCCAGGGATCATAGGGTTCCAAAAAAATCTATTGGCAGTGTATGTCCCATGTTGATAAAAGCCTTATTCAGTTTTTGAGAGTACTGAAAACATTTTTAAAAAATAATATTATTTTAAGAGACTTTTTTTTTGATAAAATAACAAAATATAATATAATTCAATCATGTACAAAAGGTCGATGTACGTATTCTACTAGTAACCACTTGTCCTTAATACAAGTTCAATACCATAGATTATTTTTAAGAATTACTTACAGTAACTTGAGGTTTTTGTTGTCCAAGTTTGCTACATGCTACTTTGAGATCAAAGTTGTAATCCCCAGCAAAGTCCTTGTTACTGGGAACAGTTTGTACTGAATGTTGAATGGCAGCTGAATTCATATTCTGTAGCGCCTATTAAATTCAGAAAACATTTATAAAAAAATGCAATTACAAGTATCCAGAACAATCTGCTATACCAAAATTACTTAATTTGATATGTATCGTAAATTAAATAAGACTATAAGAAAAATAATGAAAATAATTACCATGGTAGAAAAACCATCATATTCTGCAGAGGAATGACTAGACGGCTCAGTTTTAATATCCCGCTGTGCTGGATCTGAATCAGGTGGTATGGCCAGAAATGGAAGTTCAGTCTGCTAATAAATGTTTGTTTTATATCTTATACAAAAAATCACTAATGATTTGAAAAATGTCTAATTTGTTTTTAAAAAAATATACACTTAATAGGCATATTTTAATTCTATATTTATTGCAATTAAATTTTTAACAATAGTGATTATATCAAAATTACAATAAAATAAGAAAGAACTCTAATACTTACATTGCTATCAGACCATGAATTTAAATCCCTGAGAATAAAAAGAATATAATTAATTTCTCTATAATTAAAAATTATAGTAAACTATTTCATTTTTCTTGAATTCTCAATCATTTATAAAATTAGCTGACTTCTATTTGTTGCAAATAAAAATCATTTTCAGAATAAAATTTCTAACAAGTCATGCACAAAATATAAATATGGATAAGATAAAAAAATATATAAACAGAAATAAATTTATATATATTATTTTTTAAAAATCTCAAACCTTTTTGCACAAGGAAGATTAGTCAATAAAAAAAATAAACCGCAAGCCAAAATTTCTCTAGCAATAACAGAGTGTTCTTGCATCACATATAAAAAATCATATTCTTTATGAAAACATGATTTATGCTAATTATAAGTACATATGTTCAAAATTATGTAATTGAAATAAAATGAACATATTACATACTTTCAGTATATTCATACATTTAATAATTTAATAATTTAAAGTCAGAAGATGTTTCATTTAATAAACAATAAATCCAGATATTAAAAAGAAAAACTAAATTATATTTAAAAAAAAAAAACAGACTTCAACATGTTTCGAGTTTGATCATTGCAATTGATAAAACACACAAATTATTAAAAAAAACAGAAATTCTATTTACTTTTAATATGGGGAGTTAAAGTACTAGATAGCAAATGAGTACTTTTCAAATATCTATGGCTAAACAGTTGACTGTATCATTTATTTAGCAAATTCAAATACAGTAGAACCTCGATTAACCGGACTAATTGTTGTCAATAGGCATCCGTATCCAATGTATGAAGAATAATGATGTATATTTATCAAAAATAACAATTACATGCACAGATATCAACAAAAACGTTTATAAGAAATTAACATTTCCCTATGTATGTACATATATATTTTCATAGATTGCATTACATACATACAAACTGTAGCATTATTCATGCAAAAATTCGAATTGCAGGT